TGATTCCGGGGTCCGGTGGTGGGAGCAGCCATGTTCTCTTCCTTCGTCCCCTCGCAGGTGCCCTTGGCTCGAGGGAGGAGCCCGAGTTCGTGACCGCTCGTGCTGGCGAGAGCGTGATCCTGGGATGCGACGTGATCCACCCGCTCACGGGGCAGCCCCCTCCCTATGTCGTGGAGTGGTTCAAGTTCGGCGTGCCCATCCCCATCTTCATCAAGTTTGGGTTTTACCCTCCCCATGTCGACCCGGAGTATGCCGGTGAGTGCCAGGGGTAGGAGGGGGACGTGATGGGGATGCCCGGCTCCGCTCCATCCGTTCCTCTGTCGGAAACCGTGCGGGTGCTGCCTCTCCTTGCTTGCTTTCCACCCAGTTGGTTTTAATTAAGCAGCAGTGCTAGGAAGCCAGCTGGGCTGCGTGGGACGGGAGCAAGTGAGGCAGAGAAACCCAGGGTGATGCGTGTGCTGCTGCTGCGCCCCAGAGCAGCTGTGAGCCTGGTGGGGGGATGTTGGGATGCTGGGGATGGAGCTGGGGCCATGTGCTGGGTGGAGGTGGCAGGTTGGAGCTGTAGAGCACATGTTGGCTGCACACCAATGCGCCACCTGCCCCACGTGGTGAGGTCTCTGAGGTGGGGACCAGCCCCCATGGAGAGGGTTGGCATGGTGAGGTAGGCCCATTTTAATGTCCCATTCCTTGGCATTTCTCCACCCAAATTGCTCTCCTGAGAAATGCCGTGGCAGGGAGGATGCCAGCACCCGAGTCTGGGCTGAGCCCTGCCAAACTCATCTCATGAATGAGCGATGCCAGAGCCTGGTGCCTGCTGGAGCAGGGTGGAGATCTGGTTTCCTGGGCTGTACGCAGGGTCAGCTGAGAGCCTCCCTGCTTTTTGGGACGCTCCCAGGCCGGGGAAAAGCTTTGGGGCACGTGCTTGCGTGCCGGCTGTACCGCTGCCAGCCCCTGGCTGGGAGCAGAAGGCCGGTGTCACTGCGGGCAGACGCCGCTCGGGCCCCCTTGCCTGGCCACGGCGGGTTTCCTCG